ACCGCACATCCTGTCGACCCAACCGATCCCTCACGTCTCCCATCATTCTTTCCATCCGCAGTATCGATTCCGCCATCATGTTAAGTTGATCATTGTCCCTGTCAGAATGTGTTCCTTCCATGTCAGACATCCTATAATCTAACTTTTTTCTGCCTCACCAAGTTCACTCGGAATTTACTCAATTTGGCTTTTACCCTCAATTGATCTCACCACTCTGTCTTTTACCACTCGTTGCTTTCATTTCGTGCTTCAAAAAATAAATTGAAACTCAACCAAAGAATTAGTCTCGTGAAACCCAAACTGGATGTGAGTGAGATTACAAAACAAAGAAGGACTCGAATTTGAAAGTTTCGAAATTCAAGAAAGTGGTTCTTGAATTGATTTGGACTAAGAAAGACAATTTAAGAAAATAAGGGACTAATTTGCAAATAAATAAATAAATTTTTTTTAACAGTAGACGTGAACAATACGGACGTGAATAGTACTATTTTTTTAACTTTTTTTGACTTTTTTTTCTTTTTATGCTATTGAACGATGAAAAGTACGATTTTTTTTGGATCCGGACTTTAACTACGACACCAACGAAAGAAACGAAAGTTGTTTTGGATTCTAAATGAGCCCAAAAATAACTTTTAAAGTTTTAGACGAAAAGAATTCAGATCAAAGACTCGAGAATTTTACTGGACAGAAAAATGCGAAGAACGAAGAAAAACTAGAAAAAAGACTCAACAAGAATTTAAAAGGGATATAACCTTGAATTAGAGTCTAAACTCTGATACCAACTGATGCGAACCCGCGTAGCGCAATCACTACCAAAGCCACAACAAATTGAGAATCAAACCCATGAAAGCCAAAGACAGGGTTTTGGATTAAACCCAATAAATTGGAACCAAGCAACCCGAATCGCTGACAATATGCGGACCTCTTGATTACGTAATTTAAATGAATCTCACCCGGTTGATTTGAATGCCACAAGATTAATCTTGATAAGTTTACAAGTTGTTCAACGAAGAACAAGAGAAAGCAATTAATGTCTCACAAATAATATTCAATAATATGAGAGTTGTAATGTTTTACAATAAGGAATAAAGTATTTATACAATTCTAAAGAACCTAAGCAAACTAGGAAAAATATCTAAAAATAATGCAAAATTCGTCCACAATAGCCTAATTATGGTAAAAATATACTAATAATGAAATTCTATTAAAATAAGGAAAAAACGCGAAATTTGAAAAAATTCGCCTGGAACTTGGCCTATGCGGCCGCATAGTGCAATTGGTCTACGACTTTGGGACTTTTGCTGGATGTATGCGACCGCAGGACTTTAGACCTGTGCGGCCGCATGGTTTAATGCTCCAGTTCCGTTTTCTTCAGCTTTAAACACGTTGATCCAATACTCTTCGGCCTTCGTTCCCAACACGAAACTTGCTCCATTTTGCATCCCGAACATTGTTTCATCAACCGTTGCTTTGACGAGCAATCACATCGCCTCTTTCATGCGCTTGGCCCTCGATCACATCATCGGCCCCTAGACTATCAATGAATCTTTCCTCGGGCTCGACTCTGGACTTGACTTTGGTACTTGTGCTTCCTGGATCACATCAATTTGGTGGAGGTGGAGGAACAGGGGGTGGTTCTGGTTCTGGAGGAGGATTTGGTGGTGGGTTTGGATGCCCAAGGAAGAGGAGGAGGAGGAGGAGGTTTTGGGGGCGGTGGTGGATTGAGTGGAGGATCTGGTAGTGGATTTGGTGGAGGAGCTGGTGGTGGAATAGGAGGTGGTGGAATCCCTTGAATAATTAAAGAAGTTTTAGTCCATGCATTTTCATCTCGTAATAAACCATTCCTTGCCTAGCGGTTTCATGGCTCTGTGCAAAAAATAAATAAATAAATAAAATAAAATAAAATAAAATGTATAGAGTCTTTGAACTACTATACTGAAGATGTTTGATTTACTCAAGATTAATTGAAACAAATTAGATAATATATATGAGCTTCACTGTTTGATTAATTTGATTATTTCCATTTCTCATGCTTATTTGTTCCATGAAAATATTTATCTTTTACAAGGTTAATTTTTGTTCGCTCTTATGATTATGTCACAAATTTAAATAGCAAAATATGGAGTTCATTCCCAAATTTCAGATTTAATATGTTTAAAGGGAACAATTCCAGTATTAAAATATACTGTTTTCTAAACGAATAAAACCCGTCGAATGCATATTTCCAACTTAATAAATCCTATCTAACTTGACTACGATGTTCAATTTAGGGTCTGCTTTGACATGCATGATTAATCGAGGAGTGTCTAATATCACAAAAGCGAGGAAGAATTTGATAATTTATTTTCCACAAGGCTTGACACAAATTAAACCTCTATTTAACAACCATTATTTAAAAACTCTTTTTTTATCATACTTATTTTCAATTACATATTCTCAACACCGAATATGTTTCACAGAAACCCGAAAATGTTTTCCATTTTTAACCACGTAATCACCATAAAGTTACTATTCAAATATTCATTCTTAATAAAAAAATGACTATCAAACATGGGCTAAATAGCATGAAATGGAGCCAAAAATATTCCTAAATTTATTGGTCATTTACATTTTCTACCATAGATTGACATATCTCCTATACTTCATAAATGAATTTTCTGGTTGATTTTTCTATTTGTGAGAGACAAAAGACATAGAGCTGTGAGATCTCCATCGTAAATTTCTTCAATTTAGAGTTTGCTTGAGAGACTTTATTTGAAGTGAATTAAAGAACAAGTGGTTAAAAGGGGAAAAATACAGAATCAGGCACAAAATTATTTTATTGCGAGAATATATGGTTGAAAATGTATTTAAGGAAAATTAATTTTCAAATAAGCCATACAAAGCAAACACTTAGCGAATATTTTCACCGACGAGTGGGCGTAGTTTTTATATTGAGATAAACAACTGAAAGTGCGTTTCTATGTATGGGTCTTATTTTTTGTTTCATTCCTCATTGCCTTGTAGGTTTGGGATTATCCATAGTAGTTCATTGCTTGTCATTCTGTTTATTATTACTCTTGTAAGATAGATTTTTCGATTATGTAGGGAATTCAAGAACTCAATAAGAGTGAAAGGAGGTGCCTAATTCAAATGTTAGACTGCAAGAAATTATCAGTAGAAACTTGCTTGCATGCTGCACAAAATGAGATGCTCTGAGATTCTGTTTTGATAAGATGTGCATAAAACGGAAATTCTATTTTCCGTTAAAATTGAAAACAAAAAATAATTAGGTGTGAAAGATTGTATTAGGTCCCAATAGATTTTGGGTGTGGGGCGGCTTCATCTTGAGTTTCCCTTCAAGTTCACGCCAATGGTTGCGTTGAAATCGTATAAGAGACGAGACAATTATCATATAAAAGATATATCTCATGAGATTTTATTTGCTCCAGGTATATGCACTAGGTGTAGTGTTACGTTGTAAACCTATATCAATAGATTCGAAATTATATTTATTATATCGGAGACTCGTTAAAGACATAGAGGGGAAATTAACTTAAATTTCTTTCCAAGTGATATTAGTTTTTTAATCTCTTTTTTATATTCATGGTTGTTAGGATATGTAAAGTTACAAAAACGTTGAATCAAAATCTAATAACACATTTCATGATATTCATAATTTTTATCCTTTTCAACCATATATTTCATCAATTTTTATAAAAATTTGTTAGAATTTTTATCAAAAGCTTTGTCAAGCAACTCCTTAATGTAATTCTTAATTCATAGCATAGAAATACTCCAAATTCGTAAATAAGATTCGTTTAGTAACTTTTCATGATAGGAAATAAGTTGAGGTATAATGCTACAACAACCATAGGCATAATGCCATAATAGCCGTACGTGGCATTTATATATTTAATCTCTCTTCGTCTTAGATAAAAATCAGATTTTTTCTAGATTTTTGTAGAGGTTGATGGAATGTTTGATTCAAAAATGATAGATCCTAAAAAATGTAGGATTAAAATTTATTGTTAACTTTAACTTAAATTTTAATATATATTTTTGGTCGAATCAAACAAGATCTTAATATTCTATCTATTACATGTCAATATAAAGTCTCCATTTCAAAATGATTCAAGGCTTCCATTTTAACCCTGCATTCGAATAATATAAAATAAGAACAATATACTGCAGATTATCATATGCCCTTTTAAGAAGATGACAACCAAATTTAGAAATCGTCGAAATTTACATAGAAATCAACCGAGCTATATACAGGTATTCAATTTTCGAAATTGAAGATGTCATCAATATTTTGCTCGTGTATAAATATTTAAATCACTTTTATTCACACATTCAATTGAACTCTGGAGCATTACCCAAGTATCCATCACTTATTTATAAATATTTATGAACAAAATAGTTTATACACGTAATTTCCAACATGATGCACCACCACTTTTATCATAATAATTAATTTCCTAGTTAAAAGAAACTGATTAGTTGTTTCCCTGTTCAGTTGTCCTACATCAAAATACAAAACTGGGGCTTATAAAACCTCCGGGATGATTGTGGCTTAGCTGCAATTTAAATTGGCACGAAAGCAAACACTCAGAAGGACTACTTACTAAAATGTTATCAGTTAGGAGGTTGAAAAGTGATTCTTTTTATTCTAAAGCAAGTTTTCTTCAATTAATGCTTTGGTGATCAAGCAATATTCATGGCTTGGGACAGACCAGTATTTAACAAGCAGTGTAGTGATGGCTAGAAGAGCTCTTTTAAGGGCAATGCATTTGCCTCTTTAATTTGTCAAGTTTAGTTGTCAAATTAAAATAACATCTTTGCACTAAATCAAGATGTGGTCAAGTTGATAACTGGGAAATGAAAATGCAGTGCCCTTATTAAATTAAATTACATTACATTCCATTTTTCTCCCTCCTATTTTCAACCACACAAGCTTTCATAAAATAATATTACATGTAAATCGAAAACTTTTCCTTCCTTTTCAACCATTCATTTTTCTAAAAAATACTATTCCTTCCATTTTCATTTCCAGGTAATGGGGATCAAATAGGGGCTAAAACTCAAGTCTTACCAAACAAAGGGATTAGTGTCTCACTTGTGTTCACTATTGTCCTATGTTCATACAAATTTGCAACAAAACCTACACAAATAGCATCCCAACTCCCACTAGTATAACCAATTCACATTGTCATGATTGGTCTAGAATTTTTGTTTCCACAACCAAGGGCAACGGTTAAAGGACCAATATCCTTTGTCTCTCTAATCCCCTCAAGATAAAAATGTAAGAAAAATACTTTTAACTATCAAACAAACAATCCAGCCTCTCCTAACTATGGTAAGGAGAAAATGAAAAATAATCTCTTTGCAAAACACTGCTTTCTTGTCAGAAAACCATTAGGCCTAACTATTTCAGTGAAGGTCAAGTCCTGCAAAAGTGCACAAAGATAACGTAAAAAGATATTGATAACAGAAGTACATACAGATTTGGACTTCATTGAAGAAACATTGCCCACACTGCTCACTTCTCTACCGTGGTAAGGCTCAAAGGCTTAAGTCACAGGATATACTATAGAAAAAAATAATAATAATAATAATAATCAAATGTGTACAACCTATTTCTGATCAGTTACAATACACTAGGAAAACATCATCAAGGCCACACATTTTCAAAAGAATCAGAAAGCACAATATTTTGTAAATCTGATTGTCAAATACAAAATCCAACCAGCACCAACTAACTAACAGGGCATGCCAACCATTGTTCTGAGAGTTTGGAGGCAATAACAAATAAACCAAGATCATCTACTACTATGGTTAGAAATTTGGACTGCCAGGATAATACAGAAAGCTTCCAAGAAAAGCCATAAAAAGGTTTGGATACGAAAATTCATATTGACCAACTTCAAATTATCCGTATTCGAAAGAAAAAAGTGTCTGAGTCAAGTAAAAAAATACTAGCATAAAAGATGCCATTCTCGCAGTACAGCAATTCAAGAAAACATCACTAAAAAAGATTATGTTAACAGGAATACGAAATTAAAGTAAGCAAAAATAGACAAATAAAAAGAGAGTTTTTCTTCCACCTACCAACCCAGTACCAAAGATACATCTGGATATAATCGAGTCTTTGCAATTCGATTCTGCAATAATACAAATCACATAGGAAATGCAGCAGGATACCAACCCAATATATTTGTCAAAAAGCATGTGTATTTGGAATCATCTAAACAATGTAGTCCTAACCATTTGTATTCCGACAATTCATAAAAAGGTATAATTTTTCCCTGTACATTAAACATCGAAATTGCTACATTGAAAAAATACAGGAATCAAGCACAAAAGCTCAAAGAGCGTCATATCCATTGATAGGTGCCAAAACGACATTATTAAAAGGAGATTTAGAAGAACATCAAAATAAAAGGCAAAACAGAGCAACAACTACAAAGATGTTATTTTAATTTTACAACTAAATAAAAAATCAAATCTACAAATGAATTCTACGTTCAACCAGCGATCTCAGCAAAAGTTGGATTAATATCCAAAATTCTTTTTGCTGAATTCAATTTCAGAACTAGTCCACATGGAGAGTAAAAATATAAAGATTTTTTTTTAAAAGTTTGATCGAGCAACACATGTTATACCTTAAAAAAAAATTCATTTGAAAATGGTGAAGGCCCTGGAGTTGCTTTCGTAATTACAGTTCCTTCCCATCCCATCTCATGCTTCCTTCGCCAATATCGACTTGTTTGAATCGTCCGTTTCCGGTCTCAGCTTCAAATTGATTCATCTTCAAATTGTTTGCAAAATAAAACCCTAAGCTAAATACACGCGACGAATTTACATAAATACCCTTCGGACGCCTTGAATTAAACACCCACCCGACCCGGATATTTCCTCGATAGTTAAACAAAACTCCAACGGTAAGTTAAAACTAGCGCTCTAAGGAATTCAAATTCCCGCCTAAACACAACGGATCTTTTCTTGATGCTCTTCTCTCGGTCTTGATTTCTCTCAGTTTCAATTACCTCTCGGTTTCAATTACTCTAGTCTCATCTTGATTTCTCTTTGTTTCAATTCCATTACTCTCATCTCAATCTTGATTTCTCTCCTTCTAATTCTCTTCTCACTGTAATAATTCACGATTTTAGTCTGAATCTTGAAATATACATACTTCACATTCAAAAAAGATCACAATCATGGGGGATGACGATGGTGTATCAGACAATCATTCCAGGCCTCAAACAAAAAGCTTCAAGAAAGATGAGTTGAAGGCCAAGAAGAAGGCATTCTTGGCAAGAAAAGAATGTATAAAGAAGAAGACAATGGAATTATCCGTTTTGTGTGATGTCAAGGCTTGTGCTGTGATCTTAGGGCCTGATGGGAAGATAGAAACGCGGCCCGAGAATCGCAGCGATGTACAGGATGTGATCGACTTGTTCAAAAAAGACTGCCTTAATAACAAGAAGCGAAAACAGAATAATAATGATCATGGTTGTAAGAAGAAGCAGGTTTTGGGAGGTGATGAAGGGGTTGTAGAAGATTTTCTGAAAAAGGTTGAGAACAAATTAGATCAAGTCAAGAAACGGATAAAGGAGATTAAGACCAAAGATCAAGAAGCAGGTTCAGGTATTTTCATGATTTTTTTTTATTTTTTTATTTTTTTTTATTGTGATTTGAAACCCTTTTTATTCACGTTTCATTATGTTCTTCCTGGTATTCATATACTGGTCTGCTTCTGTATTTATTCATGGATAGATATGGTTTTGTTGTTTGAATTAATTTTTAATCATGATAACAAACTCTTTTGAAGAAGCTGATTATTCCTTCTCCTATCCAGCGTCTGAAATTGGCAACCCATTGAGTGGGGGCATTCCTCCTAATGTTTGGCCTCCAAAAAGTTCACAAAATCTGAGCTCATATTTTAATGCTGGCATGCTTGGTTTTGGAAATCAGTTGCCTGGGAATATTATGTCTTCTACTCCAGTAAGAGCATTGTCCATTTATGTTGTTATGACACATTAGGCTGCTTATTTTTCACCACTATTCGAATTTTTCTTAAATCTTATTTATCACATAAACTTCCAGGGCTATTTTGGTGGCTTTCCGAACAATGTTGAAGGT